TCATCGTCCAATTCCCGACTTCCACTTTGGGAACCAGATGGAGAAAACACCCTACTTGTAAAAGGTTCATGTGATGAGGTCAGGCCCATCAGGTTAGCGTCCCTTTCTCAAAATGAACAAGTCAACGGTGCCATCAAACACAATCCTATCATAGAGCAGAGTTCATCATATTTACAGTGGCAGGGACTGTGTAGGGCGTGTACACCAGGGCTGTGGGTCTGGGGACCATCATAGAATTCTGCCTCCCACAATTTTAAAAATTAATTCAGCATCCGTGCTTACTTTTCCAGAGAAAATCGCACCATATTGGGCTGCGGTGGGGCATGGAGAGGGCCACTGGCTTCATACAGCCTTGGTTCAGAATCCTGGCTCTGATCTCCAACAACTGATGTCCTCGAAGAAGCAGCCTGACTGTTCTGGGCCTGTTTACTCATCTGTAAAATGGAGTGAGGGCCACTTGGCAGGGCAGCTGGAAGGTTAAATGGGATCATGCAGGTAGAAATTTTGGCAGAGCCTGACCCTGGGGGCCTGGGCAGTAGATGATACTGCTGTGCATGGTTTTTTAGAACAACCCAGCCTTCTGTTTTGTTTGAAGTAGGGTGGGATCAATGAAAAGCATGTTTTTAGGCTCAAACACATCTGAGTCCACATCAGGAATCTTCCAGAGTCCAACTGTGGCCAGCGAGGCCCTGAGTACTGGACAGGAGACATGCCATGTGCTGACCAGTGCCCACATGCTGGTGGCTGCAACCTGGGCTGGCTGCTCACCAGTCACTCACAGTGGGCAGGGTCAGGGCCCAGTCTGATCCCTAAGAGCAGGAGGGTTGGGCATGGAGTCGTGGCAGGTGGAACATCATATGCCCATGCCATTGGAGCTGTGGTCCCTCCTTGGCAGTGCTCTGAGGGAAACTGGCACACCTGTGCCCCTCCCTTTAGAGTCTTTGGCTTCCTCATTGTGTCTTAATGCAAAAGAGCAGCCAGACTGGTATGGATGATGGGAGGAGCCTTTTGGCTCAGACAAGGAGTGTCAGAGAAGGGGTCACAAAGACAGCTCTGTAGGCTACGCCAAAAGCAGTAAAGGGTAATGTTAGGAGCAGGTCTTGGTGCAACTGCCTGGGTGTGCCTCTAGGTTCCACTGCTAACTTGTTATGTGACTGGGCTACTCTACGCTTTAGTTTTCTCCTCTGTAAAATGGGAATAACAGTAGTCCTAGCTCGTAAAATTGTCAGGAGGATTAAATGAAATATTGTCGGAATACCACTGATATGTGGTGCTTGTTCAGTACAAGTTATCCTCACCATCATCAACATCATCACCACCATCATCATCATTACCATCATCACCATTACCATGATCACCACCATCATTATCACCACCACCATCATCACACCACCATCACCATCATCACCACCACCATCATCATCACCATTATCATCCTCACCATCATCATCACCACCACCATCATCACCACCACCATCATCACCATCATCATCACCATCACCATCATCATCATCACATCACCATAACCATCATCATCACCACCATCACCACCATCACCATCATCACCTCCATCACCATCACCATCATCACCACCATCACCACCATCATCACACCACTATTACCATCACACCACCATCACCATCATCATCATCACCACTATCATCACCATCACTGTCATCCCCACCACCATATCACCATCACCATCATCACCATATCACCATCACCATCATCACCAACATCATCACCACCATCACCATCATCACTATCATCACCATCACCATCACAAACTCGTCATGATTTAACAGGTGGGCTGGCACTCTGAATGTTGAAGACAGAGGGAGAAAATCAAGCCGGGACAGTCAGATTTCTACAGTCCTCCCTAGCAGGACCCAGGTGGGCTGTTGGGGGTCCCAGAAGCAGATATCAGCCCAAAAGATGAGCTTTGATAATCAGAGTGAGGCTACGGTGAGACTGAGTGACACAAAAGAATCTAGGGTTGTTGGAATGCTGACAGCAGACAAAAGTGAGATGAGGTATCTCCTGACACCACCCCCTTCCATCTGCTCTCAGACAGGGCTCTTTTGCCAGGCAAAACTGAAGTCTTATGCCACCTCCACCTTTACGTAACCTCAGACAGGCTTCATCTTGTCTCCTGGCCTCAGTTTCCTCATCTTTAAAATGGGGACATATCAGGATCTGCCCTCAGCAAGTTGCTGGGGGTCTGCCCTGAGCAGCCGGTAGATGGCGCTAATGGCTGGTGGTTGGGTGGGGGGAGGCTCCCATAGGGGCTCTGGAGGCCCCAGTAGGGCACTGGGGAGACCTTCCCCGATTCCCTGGGGGCAGAGCAGAGCTCTTGTCTTTGCAGGAGCTGCAGATTCTGCCTTGGGTATCTTAGAAGCTTTGCACAGGTGTCTCCAGCTCAGCAGGAACCAAATGCCATCCTGTCTCCCCACCTCACTGGTGTCACCATCTTCCTGGGAGCTGTCCGCATACCCCTCTCCTTGGCCCTCACCTTTAATTTGTCCTTGAGTCCTATCAGGGTCACCCTCTATCTCACCACCATCTCCCACCTAGGTGAGCATGGGAACCTCCTCTCACACTCCCTCCAATTCCCCTCCACTGCAGTTGGGGGAGGCTTCTAAAATGCCAAATATAGCCCAGTCTCTGCAATTTGCAGGGTCCCCAGCCCTCGGGATAAAGTCCAAACCCCTGACTAACCTGTGAAGCCCCTCGAGGCCCTGTGGGTCTGCGGCTAGCTCTGGGCTGCAGCCCTGTCTCTGGTTGCAGTCCAGCTTCCACCAGGGTCCAGGGGCACTGAGCTGCCATCCCTCTCTCCCCCCTGCTGGCTCCTCCTGACTGCCCGTCTTCCCCTGGCCTCTTTATGCTTTCTGCTGGCATTGATAACAGTGTCCTGGAGAGCTGGGCAGGAGGGCTGCCTTGGGTTCCTACTGTGTGCCCCACATAGTGCAGGGCTTGACCCTTAGCAAGTGCTCAGTACACCCACGTGGAATTGGGGGGTAAGGGTAAAGGGAGGAGGAGGGAAGGGCCAAGAGCTCCCTGTGCTCAATGAAGAGTGAGACTTGAGCAAGTATCCATTTTTAGTACCTCCCAAGATGTGTACAAGAGGCCTGGGGCCAGCAGAACCCCTTGCCCCTGCCCATCCCCCTCCAGTCTGTGGGGGTCCACTCCCAGCTGCCCAGCCGTGAGGCCTCCGTGGCTCAGCTCCTCATCTGTTAAGTGAGGACAGCGGTCGTACCCCTCACAGCGAGACCACGTGGGTTACATAACTTGTTCTTAGGGTTCCTAGCTTGCAAGAAACCCCTAAGAATGTTCTATACTCCTAGGCCCACTATTATTCTTAATATTACCCAGGAAACGGTGGAGAAGCGAGTAAATAAATGAATAGGTGAATGAATGAACGAATGAATAGCACCCTAGCCCCACAGTCTCCTGGGGCTTCAGGATCCTTGAGGAGGTTGGCTGTGTAGGTTCCCCTCAGGTAGGACCCAGGTGAGCTGAGGAGTCTTAACTCACCCAGGGCAGGCCTTAAGGTTGGACATAACCATGTGTGGGCTCTGCCCTGGCCTTACTTAACCAAGAGAGGGAAATGCTGGCAGAGAAGAAAGTCCTGCCCACCAGACAGCCCCATATACCTGGGCTAGCCCCACCCCCAAGGAGCCCCACCCACCTGGGCTAGCGCCACCCCCAAGGAACCCCACCCTACTGGGCTAGCCCCACTCACAAGCGGCCCCACCCACCTGGGTTAGTCCCACCCAGCAGGCAGCTCCGCCTACCTTGGCTATCCCCCTCCGAGTTCTTGACTTGATTCTCCTGTTATTGTCTTGCAAACCCACATCCCTACAAAGCAGGAAAGTGTGCCTGGGAGAGGCCATGTGAGTGGGGAGCCAGCCCAAAGCCAGGCGTCCAGGGTCTCCCTCACCTGAAGCTGACTTTTTCCCCACCTTGGAGATGCCATCCCCACTGAACCCAGTGCTTTCACCAGCCATATTAGCTCCCACCCACCCCCCTGTCGTGGAAGCCTCGGCTGTCACACCTGCAGGGCCGGGGCGTGCATGGCCTCAGGGATGGCCTGTTCAGCTGCTGAGTGACTCGGGTCCAGGTGCCTCACCACCTGCTGAGCTCTGTGTGCTTTCTGGGCACTTCTGCTCATTGCCTTTGGGCTCAGTGAAGAGTCTGGAGTTTATCCGGAGTGAGGTGGTCGGGCCTTGGTGAGATCTGAGCAGGTAAGAAGCAGGGTCTTCCTTATGTTTTAAGGAGAGCTCTGTGGCTGCTGGGTGGGGGATCAGCTGGAGGGGCAGGAGGGCAGCAGGTGACTCATTACAAGGCTGGGGTCATCATCCTGTGAGAGCCGGGCATGACCAGTGCAGGCCGGTGGGGTTGAGGGTACAGACCAGTAGGACCCACAGACAGCTCGGGAGTGACCAAGCCTCTGCTGAGCTGCCCAGGGCCCCTCCCACCTGGAGCCCCCCAAGGTGGTGCCATACAGCCAGAGGCCTCCAGGCCCCACCCAAGACAGCCCAGCCGGCTTCTGCCCAGCCACTGTCACACACAGAGGGCAGCTGTCCCCACGGTCCCTAGAGGCGGCTGAGGACCACGGTGCCTGGAGTCATCTGTGGCTATAAACCAGGAGGAGAAGGCAGCCCACCCCTTCCCCAGAGACGGGGAGGCTGGGGCTGCCTCGTGGATTTTGGCAGGTCCCAGCTTCCAGGATTGTGAGGTGAAGACGTGAAGGGACCCTGGAGGTCATGGGGACCCAGGCACAGAGCGGCGGCCTTTCATCCTCCCCATGGTCAAGGAGGTCGGTGCCTTCCCGGGGTGGATTGTTTAAGGTAGGATCCTCCTCCTCTTCAGAGTCCATTCAGGAGTAGGAAAGTTCATCTCAGACCCTAAATCCAGCCACGTCACGCCACGCTTAACACCTCTAACAACTTCCCCCGGCACTTAGGACAGCATCTGGCTCCTTCCCTCGGCTGGTGGCCCTCAGGGTCTGCGTCACACACACCCCAGCTCTCCTGACGGGTCTCTGCACTCGCTGTTGCCTCCGCCTGGAACAGTCTTCCTGCTGGTGTCAGTGTCTCCGTGGTGCGTCCTTCCTGACCTTCCACCTCCACCAGGTGCCGACACTTCCCCGACCCCGGTATCCTCTTCTTGCCGGTGGGTGAATGCCACCTGCTGATGTCTGATTTATTCATTGGTTTTCTTGTCTGTTGTCTGTCCCCACCGGGGACAGGGACTGGTCACTCATGTTCATCCGGCAGACCGGACACTTCGTAGAGGGCTCCAAAGCTGGCACATCCCGGGGCCTCCTCTGTCTCTCCCAGGCCCTGTGTGTTGCAGTGAGAGGAGCATTTGTGTCTCTGTGGTTTGCTGCTGGAGCTAATGACCTGGACAGAAACAAGGGAGACAAGGGTGTCCAGACAGGTGCGGGGCTCAGCCAGGAGGCAGAAGATGTGGATGTGTCCCGGGCCGGCGCCACCAGGCACTCTGTATGGCACTGGGAACAGGAATTCTGAGAGTTAGTCTGTAAGCGTGGCGGGCATTGCTCCCCTGGGAGAAGCCTTTCCAGTGGGCGCTGAGCAGGCTGTTAGCTCGTGCCCTGAGGAGGTGCGTGGGTGGCCTGGGGTCTCCACGGAAATTACACGGGCGCGCATGGGTGTGACTCTGTGTTCATGTGGGCGAGGACTTCTGACCGGTGCCAGGGCACTCTGCATGACCCTGGCAGATTCAAGCTGCCCCGACTGTGGAAGGGGAAGAAGAGCATGCGTGACCCCCCACCAGCACCGCACCCCACACTGCTCCACCTGGGGCTGCCTCTGGGGGTGGCTGGGTCCTGGCTGACTGTTGTGACAGTTGAGGCCAGGGGTGGGGTGGGGCATGGGAGTTAAGAGGACTGGCCAGGTGGGGCACACCGTGTGCCCACCCCCAGTGTCAGGAACTTCCCCCTCCTCCTCCACTCCCTCGTCCTCCTCCTCATCATCATCCTCACTTGTTGAGGACGTCCTGTGTGCCAGGTGGTTTATATGCCCAGCCTCATTTAATCCTCAGAATAACTCCATGAGGTAGCTACTAAACCCCCCCATTTAACAGATGAGGAAACTGAGGCCCAAAGAAGCTCAGCAAGTTGCCTAAGGTCCAAGTTTCCTCTCCCAACTCTCCTACCCTCTCCTCTTCCTTCTCCTCTCTTCCATTCTTCCCTGCCTCTTCCTTAACTAGACAATTTTTTATCGAGCATCTCCCAGGTGCAGGCATGAGCCAGGTGCTGGGAAGATCACGATGATCCAGCTCCTTCTGGTCCTTTCCTTAGCTGGTTAGAGGCTGGAAGGACACGCAAGTTCAGCTCCAGCCGACTGGGGCACTGGTGGTAGCCCCTGGAGAACTTGTGCAATGGGGCTATGAGGCTGAATCTGGCTCCAGGAAAGCATGTTGCAATCCACGAGTGATGTCTGCCATGCGCACAGGCATGGAGAGTGAGGCACCTGTGCTGTCTTCTCGTAGACCCTAGACTGGTGGGGCCTCTGAAACGCACCCAGACACTGTGCTGGGTGTGCTGCGTGGCCCTCCTAACCAATTCAGTATTTTTCTCTCCATTTTCTGGGGAGAAATCAGAATCTAAGGTGTCAGAATGTAAGGTTCCTGTTGGAACCCAGGCTCCAGGGTCCCTGGTTTTCTGTGACATCATGCTGCAGGACCCTGTTTCTCTCTTTGCTTTGGCTGCTGGGTAGCTCGGAAGGGAGCTTTAGGCTTGCTCTCAGCCACTACATTAGCTCAGGGGTTTGGGCATTTTTGTCTCCGGCTCCTTTGGGCTCTTTGTCCTCCCTGCTGTGCTTCCCGAGGAGCAGGGCCGGATGTAAGTTATCAGCTATAAATAAAACCAAGACTTCCGTTCTGGCTCTCACTCTAGTTTCCTGGTGCATTTTTTTTTTTTAGTTCTTAATCAAGGGAGGGGGTACTCCTGACTGAAGATGACATCAGCATCAGCTGGCCCTGGGGGGCAGGCCCCCAGCCCCCAGGCCCGTGTGGTCCCTGAATGCCCCCATTATGAGGGGGTAACCTCATTACACAAGACGCGCTGCACGGCGGAATTTCAAATGGGGTTTTGTGGTTTCTGCCCTTTGCAGCAGAGCACACACAGGCAGCTGCGGTCGCCTGGCTTCCTCTCCCGCCGCAGTCCTGGCGCCTGGCCAGCTGGTGACCACCCCTTCCACCATGAGTCAGTTTCATGCTTAACGCTCTGACTCAGGTCCCTTTAAAGGGACAGCAGAATCCATTCGTTCCAAGCAAGGAGGGAGAGGTGAAGAACCTGCCTGGGAGGGGAGTTGGGGGTTAAGAGGAAGCTTGGGGGTCCCAGGCAGGCGGCTGGGTGAGCAGCCCTGCCTCACTCCCCTACCCCAGACACCCAGGATGGAGGGGCTTTCCTGTCTATTTCAAAGGAGACGGACCTGTGACTTCCCCAAAGCTGACTGTCTGCAAGGCAGGAACCCCCAGTGTTCGTTCAGCAATCTTCCTTTCTGTCTGGTCACAAGCCCTGCCCAAGCTCTGGGCTCAGAAGGTAATGGGGGCTTTGCGAGCCACCCCCAACGCCCCACGTGCCCCGCTTCCTTCTCATCTTTGGCTCCCTCATTCCTTGTACTTCCGTTGCAACGACCTCTGGAGTTCCTAGAACATCCTGAGCTGCTTCCCCGGGCCGCCCTCCCTGCCACCTGGCATGCACGTCACTCCGCTCTTTGTGGGGGTCCCATCTCCTCCTTCTGAGCCCAGCTGTGTGCCACCTCCTCCCAGGTACATCGTGCCAGTCCGTCACAGCAACCTACTGACCTCCATAGTAGCACAAGGAACAACCCAAACTCTGTTCACCTTGCTCCCCATGTTAACGGCCCCCAGCGTGAACTGTCCGCTCCATGAAGGCAGGCCCCTGCTTGTCTTGTTCACAGCACGAGGCTGTTCACACAGTCGGTGCTCACTCAACATTCCTGGGATCAATGGGAAATGACTGTCAGGGAACTCTCTGCAGCCGTCTTTGTCGAGGGCCCCAGATGGGGTGTGGGTGGCCCCTCCCTGTCCAGATGGTGTTGGAGGGGCTGGGGGCGCGGCATGGCGAGCAAGCCAAGGCTGCAGGTGGACGTCCCTGGGACTGGGGCTGCTGGGGGCCAGGCTGCAGTTCCAGCCCAGGTCAGGTCTCATGTGAGGCCTCTGTGAAACAAGAATTTCTCTCTCCATTTCCTTCTCCTGTCTGACTCACACTTTCGTTTTGAAGTTCCCCCTTTCTGCCAGCGCTTCGCCTGAGGTTATGGAGTGGTCAAGCGAGGCCGGCAGGGCGTGGAGACCCGGAGGAAGCTGGGTTGCAGTTTCATTCACAAAAACACGACCCGCCCGCTTCCTGTGTCCTGCCCGAGCTGCACGGCTCCCAGCCCTGCAGCCAGTTCACAGGGTGTTTGCAAGTTTGCAGGGGCCAGTGAGGGTGCTCCTGGGGTTTGAGAGGCTTGAGTTTGTCCACCCCAAGGCCTCCGTCAGGACCCCCCTTTCCCGACACTGTGCTTCTGTCTCCCACGGTGCCTCCCAGCTCACCCCGACAGGGGCCTGGCGCAGAGCCTCAAACCCAGGATTCTATAGGAGCTGAGGGCTGGGCATGAGCACCTTGGTGCTTCCCTTGGCTCCACTGACCCATCCTTGTTTCAGCACAGAGCTGGGAGGTCCAGGGAGGATGGCCTCTGCTGACTGGTCCAGCTCCCTTTGTGGTTCCCACCTCTCAGTCTGGGGTGGATCCAAGGGGGAGGGAAGAGAAGGGGCTGGGAAGAAAACTACGCCTGTTGGGGCACAGGCTTCTAAATCCAACCTCGTATCCCCTCCTACGAGTAGCTTCCAGGTGTCCACAGGGAGCCCGGGGTCACGTGGGCATCATTCGTTCTCCACGCGTCAGATGATCCTGTGGCCCCTCAGTGCCAGGCCCCCCTGACCCTCTGGGCACATCGGTGACTTTGATGTGGTTCCCCTCCTTCCACGCTGCCAATCTGGTGGTGGAGACAGAACAGCAGTCCTGGACGGTAAGGATGCCCAATGCCACGTGCCATGTTAAGGATGCCCAGTGCCACTTCCCCTTAGCAGGGGAGATGCAGAGGAGGGGAGGACACACAATCTGGGCATCACAGAAGCCTCCCTGGGGTGGGGGGCGTCCGAGCGGAGCCGGAAGGATGAGATACCAGGCAGGGGAAGGGACTGGCTGGGAGGAGAGGCAGGGAGGGGTCTGAAGGCAGAGAGACAGTGTGTGCACGGCTTGAGTGCAGGAGAGCCCCTGGTGTGTCGGAGCTGGAGAGGACTGTGTGGAGAGTCTGGGTGGTGTGGAGCGGGGACGGAGGCCAGGCCAGGGGGTCAGCCAGGCTGAGCGGCTTGGACATTTTGTGGAGGATGATGAGGAAGCCCTGCAGGCCTGTGTGCTCGGCTGGCCCCGTCCGGCTGACCACAGCTTCGTTCAGCACAATCCACATGGCACTGTTTTGGGGTCTCCGATCCAGGGTCTCATTTCACCCTGGTGCTGCCCCTGCGAGGAGGCGTTGTCTCTCCTTCGGCAGTTGAGGAAACTGAGACCTGAGAGGCAAGTTCTGCCCAAGGTCATGCAGTAGGTGCTCGCAGAGTCATCCGAACTGCGGTCCAGGGGTCTCTCGCCACCCTCCCTGACCCTCTGGCCATGGCTGCTATGGGGATGAAACCATCACAGGGGCAAGGCACTTTGAAATGCAAAAGCTCTACGGTGTCATGATGATGATAAAAACACAACAGGAAGAACGCAACCCATTTCAGTTTTATGAGGCTGAGCTGCTCCTCCGGAATTCCCTCTTTTCCGGGGATCTCAAAGCACTGGGCAGGTCCACAGACCACTCCTAGAAGCACTGGGAGCCAAGCTCAGGCCAGGCAGGAAGTGGCAGGCACTGCTCATTCTCTGCCGTCCCAGTCCTCCTCCCCTCAGCATCGACCCCTCTCCCCAAGTCAGCTGGTACGAGAATGAGGAGCTCGGGTCCTCCCCATCCCCAGCAGGTGAGGAGCAAAGACCAGGAGCAGCAGGAACAGGACTAAGGACTCCACCATCCTGGAGACAGAGAGGGGTGGAGAGCATTGGCCGTTCCGCCTGGTTTAGCGTTTTCTGGGTTCAGCTCCTGTCTGTCCCTTGAGACTATGAGCTTCTGAAAGTCATGGACCATGCGTGTCTGAGTCACTGTGGCCTGCTGGGATGAGCAGGGCTTGATGGCTGGAGAGGAGGGAGTAGGGTGTGGAAGGCTGGGGGTCAGGGGGAAGTCACAGGACTGGCTACCCTGTCAAGGCTTCCTAGGGCTTGTTTAATGAATAAGGAATTGATGGATGAATTATCCACTAACTGAAGGGTATGAATTGCAGACGGATATGTGGAAGGATAAATGGATAAATGAATGTGTGGATGGTCTAAAGGAAGATGGATGAGTGGGTGGATGGATGAAGGGATGGGTGGATGGATAAGGGATGAATGAACGCAGGGATGATGGATGGATGGATGGACGGATGGATGGATGGGTGGATGGATGGAAGGGTGGAAGGATGGATGGATCAAAAGGTGTAAGATAAATAAATGGATGGAAGGACGGATGGAGGGATGAACAGATGGAAGGATGGATTGATCAATGATGGATAAATGTGTGGATGTGGACAGATGGATGAATGCATGGACAGATAGATAGTGGATAGATGGTACAGGGGATTGGTAGAAAGTGAAATAAGCACCTGGGTCATCTCAGGCATATGGGCAATGTGAGTCTCTTCTAGCAGAGACCGTGATGGGACTCGCTTGGCTTTACAGATGGAGCCTTGGCATGCACAGCACGATGTCCGTGTCCTCCACCAACTAGAAGACCAATGATTTGGCTCGGGTCATTTTCTTGGTTCAGCCTTGTTAGCCCCATGACTATGGCGAGTCTTCTGCCCTCCTGGTCTTGGTTTCCCGTCTGGATTATGAGGATTTACTGGATGAGATGGGCCTCTCTGGTGCAGTCTCCAGATTTTCCTAGGAGGAGGGGCAGCACCTCTACCACTCTCTTCTGCTCACAGGCCTTCCCTCACTCCATTCCCAGGCTCAGCGCAGGCACCTGCCATGCACCCTCTTCCCCACCAGTTTCTAAATGTCTGGGCACGAAGCCAGCAGGAGAGATGGGCCCTGGGGAAAGGGGAGCTGGCCCCTGCTGCAGGGTGGGCAGGCTGGGGGCCACTGTGGCTGCAGACAGCTGCTCAGCAGGCCCTTGCCAGGCTCCAGCTGAGTCACCCTGAGTCACCACTGTCACCTCCTACCACACATTCCTTCATTCATACAGTGTCTACCCCTGAGGCCACCTCCCTGAAATCTCACTGGGCAGTTGCCAAGGGTGTGGAGGGCACTCAGGCCTGCCTGATGGGCCCTTGGCAGGGAGAGAGGGCTGGGCAAGATGACCTCTGGGAAGGTGTGGACGCCCTCTGAGTCCCTTTCAGCCCGGGAGCTCTCTGACCTCACTGGGCTGGGTCCCCTGCAGATGGGAGGGCTAGGTGCCTGTCTCCTTGAGGGCTCTTAGCAGTCATTTGGAGGAACACTGGGCCCCTCAGCTCACTGAGATTCACTGGGATGAGGAGACAAGAGTGACTCACCTGCCCCCCTTGCCTGTCTCCTCAGCAGCCACACCCAGGCTAGGCTCTCCTGCAGAGGGCCTGTGGCCCCTTTGCAGTGAACCAGGCCAGCTCTGGAGTGGGCAGCCCTGCTCTGTGTCTGTCCCAGCGCTTCCCTGCTGTGTGGTGTGGGGCAGGCCATGCACAGCTCCAGGCCTCTGTGTCCTCGTCTGTAGCCAGGGTGCCACCAGGCAATGCCTCTGGTGACTTGCGTGGGCACCTGGTGCTCCTCTGTCCCTC